CTTTTTCTAATGGTGGCAATTAAGGAAGTTTTTTTTTATCATTGCCTATAAAACAGCAGTATCTGTGTAATACCTTAATCAATAAAGAAATTAAAGATTAAAAAAATAAAATTAAATTTAAAAAAAAAAAAAGATTGCACTTTTTTCACCCTTCCCCCTGTCCTCTTGTCTTCTGGCAACCATTGGTTTTCTATAAGTCTGCTCAGTTTTGTTTTGCTTATTCATTTGTTTTGGTCTTTAGATTCCACATAGAAGTGAAATCATATGGTTTTTGCCCTTCTGTCTGATTTATTTCACTTAGCATAATAAATTAAATAAATTTAGGTCCACCCATATTGTTGCAAATGGCAAGATTTCTTCTTTATATGGCTGAGTAATATTCTATTGTGTATATGTACCACATCTTCTTTATCCAATTGTCTGTTAATGGACACAGAGGTTGCTTCCATATTGTTTAGGTTTATTCTTATACATGTCACTTTATTTGCTAATCATTTCTTCTTGCACCTAAGACCTTTCACATAGGTTTATTTTTCCTTCTTCATAAAGTACATCCTTTAATATTTCTTTTAGTATGTTGGTACCAGTCTTGATCAATTTTTATTTGTTGAGAAATGTCTTTATTTCACCCTGGTTCTTATAAAACCTTTTTTCTGGTTATATGGCCAAATGTGGCATCTAGCACGCTGAAAATATCATTCTACTCTCTTCTGTGTTCCATTATTATAGTTTTTAAAAAGCCAACTGTCAGGTCTCCCCGCGCAAAAAAACAAAAAAAAAAAAAAAAAAAAAAAAAAAAAAAGCCAACTGTCAGCATAACTGTTGCTTCTTAGGGGTTATCTGTCTTTTCTGTCTGGCTACTTTTAAGATATTTTTATCATGTGTGTGTTTGCATGTGTGTGTGATCTACGATTTTAGTATGACATGTCTAAAGGTTGTTTTCTTTTTATTTATTCTGCTTGAGGTTCATTGAGTTTATTGAATTTATGTATTTTATCAGTTCTAGAAAATTCTCCACCACTAACTCTCTGAAATAACCTGGAAACCATTTTCTTTCCTCTCCTCTGGAAGTCTGATTAAATATTATATTAAACATCACACACACACACACACACACACACACAGACACTGATAATTCTAATAACTGAAGTTTGTAAGTGTAGTTCTTATGGTTCTTGTTGATGGTGCCTTGTTTCTCCATGTGCTTCATAATCTTGAATATGTACTATTAATTGTCCTTGAATTTTTTAAATAAATCTTTATTGTTCTGATTATTACAGTTGTACCTCTTTTTCCCCCCCCATAGCTCCCCTTCACCTGGTTCCCACCCCACACCATGCCCTTACCCGCCCCCCATTGTCCTCGTCCATAGGTGTAAGATTTTTGTCCAATCTCTTCTGGCACCCCCCACACCTCCCCCCCCCACCCCCCACCCCCC